GAAATATTCTTCAAGGACACTATCTGTCAATCAAAATACCCCACCTCCACCCTCCCGCCCATCCTACCCCCCACCCCCCACCCTCCCTCCCTACCAGAGAAGTGATAGGGAGAAAATAGTATATTTACATTTTTAGTAATAAATAATAACCCAGACTAAAGTTAGGATAATATAATTGACATTTCTAGATTCCTTGCAGGTCAGGGAATATTTTGAATGTAAACTTTATATATTTTGCACAAACAATAAAATATTTGCTTTGTGTAAACCAAATTATTACATTAGATGTAAAATTTTTATGTCTAATGCAAAATCCATGATGTTTATATTCAAAATGATCATCATATTGTAAGAATTCCAGCAATGTAAATTATATTCTGGCCGGGTAATTTGTATGAATTTTATGAGCTAAATAAAAAAAAAAAAAAATATACTTCACCGCGTATATGAGTAGATGCACCACGGAAAGTGAAAGTCTGGTTCTGGCAATGTACCGCGTAAATGAGAAATCGTGGAAAGTGAAACCTGTAAAGCGGGGTAATACTGTATCTACCCAAATATACGAGTTGAAAAACAACCATAACACCTCACAGCTTGGCCCAGTAGCTTGGTGGTTGCAGTGACTAGTCTAACCTAGTTACAATGCCATGATTAATCACTATTAAATCAGTAAACACTAATAATAAAAGTAAATCCAGTGATATATGGCAGGGAGCGAGGACAGTTACAACAGCACTGCTGCAGATGACTCGACTAGCAGTCACTCATTCCCTAACACCCGTTGTCAGGCGTACAATCGAAATACGTATGGGAGAAATACATGTCTTGTAGTCCAATTTGAAAATGGTGACAGGCAGAGTGATAAACAAATTATATAAACATTGCAATTACCTACAATAACGTAATAAGAAACATTGTATCATTACAAGAGTGAATGTAATAATATTTTTACAAACAGTAATTGACAACTCTGTTTATGTTTCCCACCTCAGGAACCTGTGTCCCGCACGCTGACATCTTAGTTACACGGGCCTAAGATGATCTTTGCTCTGTTTTGGGAATTCTTCTTATGGGAGGCTTCTTTGCCCCCGGAACCCCCAAATTTTGTCTGAATCTTCCAAAATCCGGATTTACTGGGTCCGAATCTTCTAGGGTTCACTGTACTATTTTATATTTCCTTTATTTCTAAGCCACATCACTTATATGGAGTTGAATAAGTGTTAAAGAAGTTTTTTTTTCTGAGATACGAATTTATGAGACCAGCCTACAGCACTGTGCATTGTACTACAATCCACAGTGCTACAGGCTGACCACACAAATTCGTAGGACTTATTGCGGATCCTAAGAGCGTTTCAATTAACCTGAAAACTCTTTATCCGGCACCTCTCAATCCCCATAGGTGACGGATAACTGGGATTCTGCTGGATATCAATTTGTTGTATTGATAAAAAATGATAGTACAGCATGCCTTCAAATTTGTGGATGTTAGGTTCTCAAAATGGCCACGAATCGCCATAACCGTGAATAACATTTGCAGACCAGGTGGCGGGGGGGGGGTTGTATATTTTTACTTGTGTACAAAGAAATGTTTATTCCCTTTGTGTTTGCCCTTAGGACAATTATTTCTTTTACCTGTACTGTATATATGTGTGTGTATTTAGACTCACGCACACAAAACACATGCAAATAAATAATAATGGGAAAATCCTCTCACAAATAATCAGAAACAAATTATTAAAAATATTGAATCTACCCTCAAGTCTACTCCGTGCTTGCTATTAACAAAGCACGGAGTAGACTTGAGGGTAGACCCAACATTTTTAATACATTTGTTTCTGATTATTTGTGAGAGGATTTTCCCATTATTATTTATTTGTATGTGACTACTACTACTTTTTTTTTTTTTTTTTTAATGTGGCCTCCAGCCTCCCCCAATAGCTACACTTTGGGGCCGAAGCTCTCGCTCCCCTGACGCAGAGCAAAGCCAACCGAAGGAGAGAGAAGGACAATCGACATCTCATCCAGGCGGTAACATAACTTCTGGGCTGCTGCTTCTGTTCGGAGATCACCTCCGTGAGTCTGGCGTAGAAACATCTTGCACTTTGTCCCATCCCACGAGAGGTTGTGAATACTAGAGGAGTGAAGCTGCCTTGATCAACGTTCTGAATTCTCTCCCCGTATGCCCTTATCTTGTCGTTCTCGTTCCTCCTGTGTGCAGCATCGAGAGCTAAGTTACGGTGACATGCGGCCATGGGATCAAAGATCCTGATGTCGAAGAAAGCTCCCTGTCCCCGCGTCCATAATCCTCGAGCACTGACGTCAACACGGGCTTCGTTGGATGTGTTTGAAGTCCTATGTTGGAAAATTCTGCCATCAAATGGAAGGAGGGTCGGTTCTACTATGACATCACGGCAGATTTCCTTCAACATATTTGCTGTGAGATCCCCTACTACTACTACTACTACTACTACTACTACTACTACTACTTTTTTTTTTTTTTTTATAACGTGGCCTCCAGCCTCCCCCAATAGCCACACCTTCGCCACCATTTATTTACCTTAATATTAAATATCCTAATACATAAGAAGCTATCCTATCTGTGTTAAATTAGTTGAGCCGCAGATCTATGCGGCATTCAGTGACTGTAGCCTCATAGTCAATATCTGCAGCAGTTGTCGGAGTAGGGGCAGAAGCTCTCGTTCCCCTGAGGCAGAGCAAAGCCGACCGAAGGAGAGAGAAGGACAGTCGACATCTCATCCAGGCTGTAACATAACTTCTGGGCTGCTGCTTCTGTTCGGAGATCAACTCCGCGAGTCTGGCGTAGAAACATCTTGCACTTGGGCCCATCCCACCAGAGGTTGTGAACACTAGAGGAGTGAAGCTGCCTGTATCAACATTTTGAATTCTCTCCCCATATGTCCTTCTCTTGTCGTTCTCGTTCCTCCTATGTGCAGCATCGAGAGCTAGGTTACGGTGACATGCGGCCATGGGATCAAAAATCTTTATGTCGAAGAAAGCTCGCTGTCCTCGCGTCCAGAATCCTCGAGCACTGACGTCCACACGGGCTTCGTTAGATGTGTTTGTAGTCCTATGTTGGAAGATCTCACCGTCCAATGGAAGGAGGGTCAGTTCTACCATGACATCCCGGCAGATTTCCTTTAACATATTTGCTGTGAGATCCCTTACCTCGTCATGCCTCATGCATATGAAGCCCCCCTTCTTGCACACCATGGCATGATCGCCATCATAGGAAGAGCCACACACGCATTGGGAGGGCAAACCTTCTACTGGCCGACCGTACCTTAGAGCAATGGCATCTGTAAATTCTTGTTTATTAAGACTGAAACCATTTGCCCTTATCGGTAACGTAGTTAACCAGTTCGAGGCGCCCACCTCCTGCGCTATAGCTACTTTTTTTTTCAAATTTTCTGGTACCTGCAGCAATAGTTGCTGCAACTTATCATTTTGGCAGTGCTGTCGATCTGTCGTAATGGACCTACGAATCTTATTTACTTCACTGATATCCACTTCCCCTGTTGCATTCTGGGCTATTATGTGGTCCGTGAGGGCTGCCGTGAGCTTAAGTGAATTTTGATGTTCAGTGGCAGCAATCTCCTACTACTACTACTACTACTACTGTGTGTGTGTGTGTGTCTACACACACATATATACAATACAGGTAAAGGAAATTATTGTCTGGAACATATGGCTCCCTGTCACGGCCGTGAATATGCCGGCAACTTTAAAGCTACCCACAGACATTCTTGGGTACATCCAGGGTGTCATCCATGAATAATAGAGGACCATGAAATAAAAATCTGTGAATTATTCGGGTGTACTCTGTAATAACATTGTATTTTATTGTTATCGCCATGCCAATTGTGCGCGCCGGCCACATGTTAAGTGAAGAAACTGTTTACAACTCAGAATAGCTTACTAAGCAAGATGGAGCTGATAGCAGCTGTGTGACTGCCTGAGGGACAGTCTATCGCCTTCTACTGTAAAGGCAACATCTGGATTCTCGTCAGCCAATATTACCAGCAGGACTTTAGATTTGTTCTTGTTAGTCTTACCCTAGACCCCAAAACGTGAGTGTGATTGTGAACTGTTGAATCCTCTGAGAACTCTAAATAACTTTAATAAGTGTAATTATGTCCTGTATATTGATCGTATTATTCAAACTGTCCTGATGTACCAGCAGTTGTTATATGTGAATTGTATTCAACAGGTTTTGACTGAATTATACTCATCGCGTCAACGACAAGGGTCTTATTGTCCTGCACAAACCAAAATCGCTCCAATGAACGATTACATTTATTATTCCTAATAGAATTGTTTTTATATTTTATTAATATTTATAATAAAATATTCCCAATATAATTTATGTTGTACGTATTTTGTTATTCGTAATATAATTCACATTACTATACAGTATACTGTATTCCTATACTACTATAATTCATTCATCTTAGTATAATTCATAATATATTCCTTTTATAAACACAGAATTTCTAATTGAATTTGCAATGTATGGGCGATTTTTAGCTATAATCAATGTGGTAATTGTCTCCATGTGAATCGTCCAAGTGGGAAGAAATTGTCTGTCTGGGACTCATCTTAGTGGCATGCAATCAAGGTGAGGAGTGCAGCTCTTGCCTCCATCTTATGTGAATAGGTACCTGACTTTACTCAAGATGACCAAGTGTATTGCCAGCCACATTGCCTCCTTAGTATATCTGCACTGCCCCTAATGGGCCATCAAGCCTATGAGATCCACTTTAAATCCTAAATAATTAAACTATTCTAATGATGATATTGTACTCTATTGTCAGGATGACACTAATGAATTGCTAATTATTTTATTTCAGCCAAATTTAACTGCAGTATTTATTATTTTTAAAGTTGGTGATAATAGGCACTGTATTGTACCTTTCAGTCAGTGCTTTTGTGTGTATTATAATTTGTATTATTTTTATTAGTATTTAATATCTGTTTTTCAGGTAACACTAAGGGATGAAAGTTCTGAAGAAGGCTCAGGCTTTGGGCCCTCTGGCTGGGGCTCAGGACTCTCTGGTATATTCCCATCTGGCCTCTTAAGGCCTGATGGAGAAATTACAAGTGGAGAGCTAGACATTGCTGTTGCTACAGAACACAAGACAGCAAAGAAACCAAAATCAAAGCCAGGTAAAAAGCGTTTTATCACACACACACACGTGTTGTCTAATGGTAGACCCTGCTGCCATATGGCATCACGAAAATTATGACCAAGTCCCAGGTTGCTGATCTGACTTTCTGCCTCATTTACACACAATTGCAGGGCCTCAATTGTTTCTCTTATTTTGACAACACAACAGACATATATTGTTTCCCACTATTGATCTTTTTTTCATTTTTGTATTTCTTTGTGGTTCTTTATTATTATTATTATTATTTAATTTTTTATTTTTTTTATTTTTGCTCAATCCGGAATGCGACCCTCAGCTTTTAACCTAGGTTTGTTAATGCCAAGCAATAACTTGCCAGGCCAACATACAGGCAATTAAAACATCTAATAATTACTTAATAAGTAATATTAGGAGGACACGTCGCTACCTGGGGCCCTGATGTGGGTCAAGTGACCTGTGCCCGGGTGGGCTAATCCCTGTAAAAACACACACACACACACACTTGTACAGTTGCTAAAACAACTATCTGGGCAGGTGGGGGTCGATATGCCCTCATATACAGTACCAAAATTTATCATCCATGTTCTCATTTGTTTCCCACAAAGTATGCACAGATAGTGGTTTTAGCTACTGTGCGTAGATCTTAGAAATCCTAAACTATGTTTCCAAAGATAATATTGCATGATAATTTTAAATCTCAACATATATTCATATAAGAAATTATTAAACTAAGCCATGGGATAACATATAATACAGCTAGACCCCGACTTACGACTGCTTTGACTTACGACCGTCGGGACTTATGACCGCCGCAGTTGTGACCATTTTTTTTTATTTATTTGTTCTCTCCAAATGACACACGCATTTTCTATACCGAAACGTTTCCAGTTAATGTAGTCTCCATGTATAATTAGAAAATTATGGGGGCCCCATGTGCATTCAGCTGACTACATTAAAGGTAAGTGCTCAGTCACACTGTATCCATTCCTCATTATTTATTACTTTCACTGTACTGTATCCATTCCTCATTATTTATTACTTTTACTGTACTGTATTTCATTGTAGATTTTTTATTAAAAAAATTTTTTTTTTTTTTTTATCTATGTCGGACTTACGACCATTCGGACTTACGACCTGGATTTGGGTTCCTAACCCCGTCGTAAGTCGGGGTCTAGCTGTATATGGAAAAGTATATTGTTACTTGATAAATAAAGTTTTGTGGTTCATTCTGTGAATTGAAGCAAGTGCACAAAATATAAATACTACAGGCAGTTCCTGAGTTGCGACCACCCATACTACCTAATGGGATCCCAAAATATTCATCACACAAATTTGTAACAAAAATAATTTTTTTTTTACATTACTTTATGTTGTTTTTGTTAGCTGATTTCATATTGAATTTAATTGAATTGAAACAGTTTATTTAGCCAGAAAACACAGATACAGAGTGGATAATAATAACATTATTAACATGGCTGAGCCAATTGAGAGCCTGAACTTTCTCGTAGGATAATACAAGAATAGAAAGAAAAGAACAGATCAAGAGGGAGAAATTTATATATGCTGTGTTGTCAATAGTAAGAGAGAGAATTGAGACCCAACAATTGTGTGTAAATGAGGCAGAAAGTCAGATCACCCACCTGGGACTTGGTCAAAATTTTTGTGATGCCATATGGCAGCAGGGTCTACCATTAGACATCACATTATTTAGAATACATGTATTTGTATTAATTGTTCTTTTGTATGGACAAGGTTGTGTTTTTGCCTCACCTAATCTATGAAATTAACACTGTTCTGACTTACAAACAGATCAACTTATGAGCAGGGTCCAGGAACATAAGTCATTGGTAACTCGGGGACTGCCTGTACAGTACAGTATTGCTTCTCTCTTATGATCCTCACAGTAGTATGTAGCTTTGTACAGTATTACTGTATTAACTATAATTCTGTTTTTTATTTTTCCATTTTTAGATTCAAAGAAAAAGAAAGAAGCAAAGAAGCCTGCTAAGTGTAAGACCAAGCCTAAACCAGAGAAGAAGGATTGCCAGGACACAGAGTTTGGTTGTTGTCAAGACAATGTCACTCCTGCCAGTGGTCCCTTCCAAAAAGGTAAATCATTCTTATTTTAACTAAGACACTCAGTGAAATGAACAGAAGAAGAAGAGAGGCTTATCAGTAGGTGTATTATTGTAAATTAGGACAAATTTCAGAAAATATTAGTGTTGATGGGCAAGTGGTAATATATAAAGTTATTATAATAGGATTTAAAGTTGATGAGGAATGTGGGACCTAACAAGTAAACTGTGATAAGTAGAAGCCATGCAGCAGTGATAGGTACATAATCTTAATTTGTGACACATAAATTTAACCTTTTCCATTCTTATATCTGTAGAATACAGTAGAACGTCGATATAACACGAGATACATTCCAAGAGAGGTCGTTCAAAACTGAATTTGCACTAAATCGAAGTGTTGTTTCAATGGAATAATTTAGTTTGGTACTTGAGAGAAACAAAATACTAAAAAGACTGAGAGTCTACCCTGATGCACCTCAGCCCATCTCCTAGAATAGACAAAACATTGTATTTTTGTATTATTATGTTAAAACAAACACTCATAAATCAACACAGCTAAAATTATGGGACGTGAAATGGTCTATTTTCTAGCGATCAGCTGATGTGAAGATTGGGGGGGGGGTGATATGTTTGACAGTTGATGCCAAGGTCTAGTGCTTATTTATTTATCTGTCCTTAAGAGTGCCTTTAAGTTTTTCTCTTATAAAATGTCACTGAACTGACATGTTTTAATTAATTTTATTACAAAGGGCTAAAATTTTTATCTCTTGTGTAAAATATATGGCGTTTACATTCAAATTATTTGCTGTCTTGCAAGGATTCTAGCAATGCAAGTTATATTCTCCTAACTTTAGTCTGTGATATTATATAAGATAATAACTGTAAGCCTATAACCACCCTACCCTGGCTGGGAAGATGTTGGGGGGGGGGGTGACAGTGACATGTTTGACAGTTGCGCCGAAGGTCTAGTGAAGTATTTATTTGTTTATTTATATCCATTAGATTAAGTTTTTGTTTTTGCTTATAAAATGTCACAAAAGTGACCTGGGAGAATATAATTTACATTACTGGAATTCTTACAAGATAGTGATTAATTTGAATATAATCATGCTATAGTTTACACAAGACAAAAATTTTAATAGTCATTTAGTACATTATTTTGAGTACATGTACAGTACAGCTTTGCCCTTAGGACAGTGTGGCGTGGTCAGAGAAACATTTGGCGCGAATTTTAAAATATCATGCACCAGATTGACTCGCGCAAAATAGGAAAGATTCACTTTAAATTAAAACATTGTCCTAAAGTGTGGGTGTCGCTTTAAATCAATGATCTTAAATTGAATCGCTTTAAATCGATGTTCTACTGTACTAATTTTATTTGACACAGTAATTCTAAATATCTGTCTTGAAGGTTATTATCCTAAACTATAATGATCAGATGATTGTTAATACTGCATGTATTAGATGAGACTATGAAACATATCATCCAAACCAGCTAAAGTATCAAGGGTAAACGGAGACTGTTATAACTGAACCTTACTATTTTACCTGTATGAAGGCTGCCTACGCATTGAGACTTGTAAGGACACGACCCATGGCTGTTGCCCAGATGATGTAACACCAGCTCAAGGCATTGACATGAAGGGCTGTCCAGGCATCTCTCTCTGTGAGAACTCCCTGTTTGGTTGTTGCCAAGATGGAACCACAGAGGCCAGTGGTCCACATGGGGAGGGCTGTGAGGACCTCATGTCTTTTAACTGTGAAGAGACTAGGTAAGTATATATTTTTTGGCATTTAACTTTTAAAGTAAATTAGGAGCAATTTCTCTGAACAAGAATTTTTAAATTACCGTATATCTCGGCTTATAAGACGGAGTTTGGACATTAAAAAAATCTGCCCAAAGTTAGGGGGTCGTCTAAACCACCAAGTATATAATTCTTACCTCTTAAATATTGTGGTTTAGTGTGTCAAGAGTGGTGATGGAAACATCGTAAGCCACTCACAAGGTCTTACCACTAATTATTTTATACTGAAACTTACGTTTGGCAAGCTGGATTCAAATTAAGATTACCGGTATATTAAAATAATAAAAATGTATTATAAACCTGTCTAACATACCGTAAAAGAGAATTATACCCCTGTAATAAACACAGCTATCATCACACACCCCTCCCCACGCCCCCCCCATTTGCCAGTGAGGAGACAAGAAAGGGAAAGCGACCGCGAGATTGGGCTATTTTTAGCCGGGGAGGTGGTCAGTAATGCATATCGGTATATTTACTGATAATAATACTTATCACCTATAAATAATTAATTTAAAATTTATTTTTTTACAAGTTTTTTTACAAGGAATATTCAGTAAATGACTGCATTAATTCTTGAAACTACTGACAGTTAAATACAGACGCTTAAGTGACGTCACTAGTGTTTACACTACACCAGCTGGTAACATTTGATGCGATTACTTGAAGTGAATTGGCCTTATTTTAAGTAACTAACCATAAATAAATACAAAAAGTAAAAAAAAGATCAAAAGTGAGAAATAATATACTGTATGTATGTTGTGTTGTCAAAGTTAGAGGAACAATTCAAACTGCAATTGTTTGTAAATGAGGCAGAAAGTCAGGTCAGCGCTGAACCTGGGACTTGGTCACAATTTTCGTGATGCCATATGGCAGCAGGGTCTACCATTAGACAACGCATTATGCTTCCAATATCTTCCCAGGCGGTAGTATCTACCTGTTTGGTAGCTGCCTACTACCTACACAATTTTTAGTAATATTACTTTGATACATGATAAATTAGACAAAGAAAATAAACATCAAATTTAATTACCAAGACGCTTCCCATTGGCAGCTGTAAGAAGAGGGGGAGATGGGCTATTTATAGCCCTTCTTTGTGTCTGAAGTGACCAGTACCCTAATGCACCATAAATAATTCATTTAACATTTATTTTTTGTACATATATTTTGTTGTGTATATATATATATATATATATATATATATATATATATATATATATATATATATATATATATATATATATATATATATATATATATATATATATATATATATATATATATATATATATATATATATATATATATATATATATATATATATATATATATATATATATATATATATATATATATATATATATATGTATGTATGTATGTATGTATGTATGTATGTACAATCCGAAGGATGATGGATTAGTTGGAAGTGTATCCAGAAGAAAACAAAATATTTTACTTTACACGTTATTAGCCAATGTTTGGCAAATTATAGTTTCCGGCCATGACAATATTCTCATTAGGTTGGGTTGGGGAGTGAAGCTCTGCTCTACTACATTGAATATTATTTATCACTACGTGTCAAAGAGAGTGCATTACATAAATCATACTAGTATAAAACACTGAGGAAGCTCTGTAATTATCGCATTATTAAGTAACACTTCAACCACCCATTTCAAGCATAACCCCACGGACAAAACATATGGGGATTGGTGGTCACACTGGACGGTAAAGTGAGGCGGTGGAGGCGGGCGGTGAGGCAGGGCGGGTGAGGCGGAGCGGTGAGGCGGGCGTGGTGAGGCGTAGTTAAGTGTAGTGAGTGGCCGAGGCGTGGCTGACGGGCCAGGCCGGGCTTGCGGGCAGGCAGGATGGAGGAAGGGTAAGGAGGGTGAGGTGGGGGATTAGACAGGAGGAGGATGTAGGTTAAAAGACATGTTAAGTTATAAGAAGTTAGTACAGACACCGCTTTCATAACTGAAACACAATTTCTAATGCTCAACACTGACCAACAATCAAAACTGCACTTGGGCTACTGAGAATGTCACAGATCAAGGGGGATTGAGAAATCACGTTAAGCACTGAAATATTATTTCTAGAAAAAACGACAGCAAGATACCACGACGTAGAGACATTTACTTGAGCTGTAACGGTGACACACTAGACACTTTTCACGCCATTATGCAGGAACTCCTTATCACGACTAACAATACTCAAAACAACGAGCCAGGTGTTATGGCTAATGAGGGAGGGCATGTGGGTTTACGCTAGCACACTGTTGGGCCTCAATACCAAGGACGAGGAGGGCGGAGTTAACGTTATAGTACGCTTTTGCCACCAATATAATGAGGCACTGTGATAAGAAGAAGATTACATATAGGTAGAATATTGATAGTATAAGAGCATAAAAGAGAGGAAGATTTTGGTGAAAGGCCGTGATAGTTATTTACACTTATCAGATCTTATACGCCAATACACATCTATTACGGCCTTAAGGGCGACTTCAAACAACGCTCATTACAACTCTTTATTAATTACTAACATGACATGGACACATTAATAACACCTTCTATTGAAGTTACTTAGGACATTATATTTTACGCTATTAGGACTACATATTACGTTACTAGACACTGATTCTCGGATACTTAAATTACGAAATGAATACACTTCCCACGTAAGTAACTCATCCCATGGAAAGCTCTGACAAAACTCACGTGACCTAGGAGGCCTAGCAGGTGGTCCTGGCTGGTTCTTATGGAGACTGCTTAGCTGGGCACCGTGTGTTGAGGGCACCCCGCTTCCTAATCGAGGCAATGAGGTGGCTTGCCTCCTGCCCCTGACTTCTCGAGCAGGACTGGGGACGGGTAGCTGGCCCTTCTTGGTTACAAGACACACTCTCTCTGTCTCTGGGCAGAGGAGGACTTGGACGTCCTATATATTATTGGGGAGGGCGAGTCAGTTTGAGCTGATCGAAGAAGGGTCTCTCTTACATTTGCCTCGCTAATGTAGGGTCAGGTCTGGACTTTTTTCAGAGACTATAAGTTGTATATTCTGGAGAAATCTTTCAGATGGGGGTCGTGTGACATGAGTCTTGGTTGATTTGTGGCCCTTGACTTGAGCCCGAGGGTTACATTTGACCTGGCTAATGTGAGGTCAGGTCTGACTTTCTGCGTGTGTAGTTATTGTGTATATTGGGAGAGTCGGCCGGTGCTCTTACATGTTTGTTGGGGCCGGTGACATGGGGAGGAGCCAGTTGGATTTGTAACTCCTTGGAGCGGTTGCCAGGGGCCTCTTTACATTTGACCCCCCATGTCGGGCCTGCCCGGGACTGTTTCCTGAGATGTAAGCTGTGGTCTGACAACCCACACATATATTATATATATATATATATATATATATATATATATATATATATATATATATATATATATATATATATATATATATATATATATATATATATATATGTGTATGTAGTATGTATGTATATATAAATATATATATATATATATATATATATATATATATATATATATATATATATATATATATATATATATATATATATATATATATATATATATATATATATATATATATATATATATATATATATATATATATATGTACAGTTGTCTTCACTTAACGCGGTCAATTGAACCCAGAGGGTCCTGCTGTTAGGAAACCACGAATTGAATAAAAGAACATATGGGATTAATTCCAATAGAACCCAGCCCTAACTTCAAACTCTACCTTTTTGACGAAAATAACTATGTTGTAGTAAAATAACATCTTAATTTTATGATGGTACATGCACACAATTAATACTTAAGAGAAATAGAGAAATACAGTCGCCAAGTTAATGTCCATTCAAATAATGGACTCAACTCCCTCCCCCCTCTCTTCACACTACACTCAATGGCTCTTCCCTCTGAGAAATTTATAAAAAGTATAGTAATAAATAATTCCTCAAACTAAAGTTAGGATAAATAATTGACATTGCTGATTCCTTGTAAGACCAGGAATATTTTGAATATAAATGTCATATATTTTTCAAGATAATATATTTACTCAGAATAAACTTTACATCTAAAATTTGTATGTCTAATGCAAAATCTATGATGTTTATATTCAAAATGATCAGCAAATTGTAAGAATTCCAGCAATGTAAATTATATTCTATTTAGATAAATGAATTTTATGAGCTAAAACAAATTCAGTTAATAAAAAAAAATATTTTCTATGACCATCTGTCAATCAAAGTAACCCACCTTGCTTTCCCCTTCCAACCACGTGGTCAGTCCCAACCCTGCCCCCACCCCCACCAATCCTCCATTCAAGAGTTTTAACATTTAAATAATACTAGATTATAATTTATCTAATTGCATGTTTAATGCAAATATATGTTTATTCAATGATCATAATCCAGCAATGTAAATAAAATAACTTCACTGCAACAGTCTCACCAACTAATAAAAAGATAACATAATTCCAGAGAATACTTTATTCAAAAATTGCATGTTTAATGCAAAATATATGTTGTTTATATTCAATGATAAATTATAAGAATTTGCAATGTAAATTATATTGGAGTTAAGAGATGAATTTTTATGAGCTAAACAGGCAGTCAGGAGGGTGGGGTGGTAGGCGCTTGAAGACACTCACGGTATCGATGAAATGCCGTAATGAAAAGTTCAGCTTGGCAGGCAATCCCGAAGAAAACGCTGCGGCGAAAGCGCTAAGCGGGCAATACTGTATGTATGTATGTATGTATGTATGTATGTATGTATGTATGTATATACAGTATTACCTAACTAACGCGTTTCACTTAACGCCAGCTTTTATCATATACGCCTGCCTCGCCAGAGCTGAACTTTCACCACGATTTTTTTTCCACATATGTGAGTGTCCGCTCGAGACGCTATTTTGATTGCCCCACCCACCACCCTGCCTGACTGCCTGTTTTAGCTCATAAATTATACAAATTATCGCCAGATAACTTACATTGCTAATTCTATATTTCAGGATCATTTTGAATATAACATCATATATTTTGCATTAGACATACAAATTTTAGATACAAATTTTCAGAGTAACTATGTTATCTTTTGTGCAAAATATATGACATTTATATTCAAAATATTCCTAGTCTTACAAGGAATCCAACAATGTCAATTATATTATCCTAACTTTAGTTTGAGGTATTATTTATTAAAATTTAGTGGTTATCCCACATCTCCTTGGGACGGTTGGTGGGGGGGGGGAGGAGGACCGACCGACCATCTAGCCACCTGAAGAATTATTTTTTTTTTTATTAAATGAAGATATTTAGCTCATAAAAATTCATACAAATTACCCGGTCAGAATAATTTACATTGCTGAAATTTATAATTATTTTGAATATAAACATCATATATTTTGCATTAAACATACAATTTTTAGATAAAATTTTTTTCTAGGTAACTATGTTATCTTTTTGTGCAAAATATATGACATTTATATTCAAAATATTCCTGGCTCTATAAGAAATCCAGCAATGTCAATTGTTATCCTAACTTTGTTTGAGGTATTATTTATTAAATTTAGTGGTTTTCCCCAAAATTTCTGAGAGAAGAGCCAGTGAGTGTAGTGTGAGAAGAGGGGAGGGAGTTGAGTCCATTATTTGAATGGACATTAACTTGGCGACTGTATTTCTATTTCTTAAGTATTAATTGTGTGCATGTACCATCATAAAATTAAGATGTTATTTTTACAAACATAGGTATGTGCTTCAAAAGTGGAGTTGGTCGGCCTGCTATTGGAATTAATCCTATATGTTTGTTGTTCACTTAACGCTGACCCTCGGTTCAATTGACCGTAAGTGGGGTAATAAATTATATATATATATGTATATATATATATATATATATATATATATATATATATATATATATATATATATATATATATATATATATATATATATATATATATATATATATATTTCAAGTAAATGGAAAAATTTTACTCGACACCGACATTAGTTCCAGTTACCGGTAAATAGCAGACGCTTCAGTGACGTCACTAGTATTTACACTACACCAGCGGGTAACATTTGATGACATTACTTGAAGTGAATTGGCCTTATTTTAAAAAACCAAGGATGGTTGGTAAAGGACTACTGAGTTAGTGGGTAAGTGTCACATTTGGGGTACTGGTCTTATACAGCGAATAGAGCTCAAAAGCTACTTTTTAAATGGAAAATTGGGGGGGGCCGTCTTATGCACCCCGACGCCTTATAGGCCGAGATATACGGTATTTTGTCTTGTGTCTATGATTTTTTAAGTGCTATTTATGTTCAAATCAGAATGCGATGCTCGGCGATTCAGCTGTAAATACACACAAAAGAAGGCTCCGCGAATTTGTGTTGTAATTGCTGAAATACTGTACTAAGTCCCACGAGGATTTTATATACGGTATTTATACTTATTAGCACAGTGAGGAAGTAGAGTGACTTTTATTTGGTTTATGTCTCTCAATTATTGTATTTGGGACAATTTCTTATACGATCTCTGGTCAGCTTCATGGCGACCACAACATGTCTTCTTTATAAAGTTGCTTAGATCGTTGTGACGATTCCTTGCCTTTAAGTCACTCAGTGAATGTTTCTGCGCCCTCCCGGGCTCGTCTTCACTGAAAGAAAATATGTGGATATATATAAGTGAGTTCTGCTATAACGCGTGTTTTGACATCGCAAATTGGCTATAATGCGATTTATAAATAGAGGAGCGATATTTGTAAAATGTGAACGCTTGTTTGCTGCAACGCGATTTTTGCTTACTATTTCTCCAATTTTGTGGTATTAACTGTGAATATGGTAAAGAAGAATATCTCCAAGGAGCGTTCTGGTGATCGCATTCCCGATGATGATCGTAAAAGAAAGGCTATAACACTTGAAGAGAAGCTCGATGTTATCAACCTCAAAATCACCCTTCTCCCCCATCAAGTTATATTCATATTTTTTCAAGGTAAAGTGTTACATTTACTGTATGATTTCAGTATTAGATATGAATGTAACATTTATTTAGACTGTGCTATCCTTTGTGTTAGGCTAACTACTAAATTTTTTTCGATTTCGAGTAATCTGCACCTAACCCTATTTTCTCCATAAGCCCTGTTATTTCTATTGCACGAATTTCTATAACACGAGGTTTTACAAGAACACAACTATCGCGTTATAGCAGAAGTGACTGTATGTATACTGTTTAAGGTTTTCTTTGTCCCAATTATTCACGTGCTAGTATGACTGCCATGTGACTATCGCTCTTCCTACTCTTGTTCGTTCACAAAAAACCTTTGGGATTCCACCCTCGGTTTTCTAAATGCTCGCAGTATAAAAGCCAGAGTTGAGTTATTCTCTTCATAACTTTATTTTATTGATGTCCTAAGTGGCGGGTTCAGCCTTTCCAGGCGAACTTTAGCGAGGCTGCTAGACTTAGCGTTCCTTCCGGAATGCTGACCTCCCGGTCTTCCTAGCAATCTAGAGTTATGTTGAAATGGACTTTACATCCTTATATGGGTTATATGAGAACATTTCAGGGTGGAATAATTCTCAACCCAATAAATATTGCTAGAGTAATAGTGAACGCTGTTGCCAATAGAGCGCTATGTTAGCGGCTCATCACTGTCAATCCTGCTGGGTGATAGTACACACGTAGGCATTTTCGCTTAAGTTATTACTTGGGGGATAATGTCTGTGCCCCTGATTTTGGCAACAAATAGAGATCTTGATGATCCCTCTACATAAAATGTTCTAAATGAAATAAGTTATGTAAAAATAATTTCCTTGAGCTAAGGGGTACTTGAGATAAGAGTGGGAAGACGGATACGACTAGTGAGTTAATTGTTTATAATTGTTAAACGAGTGACTTATATAACAATAGAAATCTTAATGAATTAACTTACTAATGCTATAACAATTATGAGTCATATTAATTAGGTTTTGGAGGAAATGTTTTCTCCCTTATATTTGCCCTATTTACCTTACAACTTATAGACATAAGCTAATGATTTTTTTTTTTAAATTCATGTTCTAGTTTTGGTTGCTGTCCTGATGGTGTGTCTCCTGCTACTGGTGAAAACTTTGCTGGGTGCATAGACTATGAGTGTGAAGGGTCTGGACCTTGTGAATCATGTAATGACACCAAACATGGGTGTTGTCCTGATGGTATTACAGCAGCCCTGGGCCCAGACTTTGAAGGCTGTCCTGATGATTCTGTTGAAGAAATTGAGGAACTTACAACAGGTTTGTGTTGTTTTTAACTGTTTTATTATCTTTACTAGAAGAACCTTTAAGGGAGAGCAATTATTTCACAGTACAGGAGTATTAACAGAAATAACATATATAAAGACAATAAGATGAAAGAGGTTCTGCTGAAGTGGTTTGGTAATGTGGAATATTTAATCAAAGGCAGGAGATCATTAGAAAGACAGAAATTAAATTGGAGGGATTTGGTTGAGAAATTCAAGCAAAACATTATGCTGAGGGAAGAGAAGGCTGGAGACAGGAACATGGCAAAGATGGGTTTGAGAAGCTAACTCCCAACCCTTGGATGTGACTAAAGGTAACAAGAGGAAAGATATATTTTGATATAATAAAATTCTTATTTTCAGGAGACAGATAAATGGTGAATTAAATGATCCGAGTGTGTATCTATCGAAGGAATAAAGCGTAACAGTAAAATCGTTCAGCAAATTTGCATAATACAAACATATAGTTGTCAAAAATGGGCAATTTTTAATCTTGCAACCCTTTTCCTGCTGTCATCCATTCATTCCAACTGCCTTGACATCTCCAATAACCACTTAATGCCGAACTCTCTTATCACTCACATGCATAATGTTTCCTGTCTGTCCGTCACCCTCGCTTCAACTGCCTCAAAAGAACAAAAGGATAGAGGAAAGTGCAGTGGGCCTATTGCCCCATACTGGGCAGTCCCATTTACACCCAGCCCCTATTGCTCATATATCTGTCCAACCAATATTTGAAACTACCCATGCGTGTTTGAGTTAATGATGATGTTTGGTAACTTAATCTACTCATTCCCTGCTCTATTTCCAAACCAGTGTTTACTTATCTCGTGCCTAAATCTAAATTTGTCTACAAGTTCGATCCTGGTTGGATAATTTAAGTATCTTTGTTATATCACCTTTGTTTAACCCTGACTTCCATTTATACACCTCAATCATATTGCCTCTCACTCTACGTCTTTCGAGGGAGTGCAAATATAGATGCTTTAATCTGTCCCTATACTCAAGGTTCCTAATGCCCAGGATTAGTTTTGTTATCCTCCTCGGTATATTCTCTAGGGATTCAATATCCAGTCTGTGGTACAGTGACCAAAACTGAACCTCGTAATCCAAGTGAGGTCTCACAAGCGCAAGATATAATTTTAGGATAACCTCGCTAGTCTTATAACTAACACTCCTTTGTATGAACCCAAGTACTATGTTAGCATCGTTTCAAGCAAATACGCATTGCTGTCTTGTTTTAAGATCCTCCTTATTATTACCCCTAAATCTTTCTCACAGTCAGACCATGCAAAAATTTGTTGAGATTTTCCTGTAGTTTTGCGGAGTCCTCGTCAGATTTAATTACCTGTCTTCCTTTAGTGTCGTCAGCAAATTTACTTATGCTGCTGTCTATGCCTATACAGTGGTCCCTCGGTTAACGAGCGCCTCGGTTAACGAGATTTCGGTTAACGAGTTACCTACCATAAGGTTCTTAACTTCGGTTAACGAGCAATCCCTCGATTAACGAGTTTCTTACGAGCCGACCTCCACATGTTTTAGCTTGCATTTGGCGGTCCACCAGCTGTAGTATTAGTCCGCCAATACAGTAATCGGTTCTAGGGCTTAAATTCCTTACCCTTTTAGTAAATATCAAGAAGTTTATACTATTCAATAATTTTAAAAGTTTAATATTAAATTTTTTAGTCATTTTCACAATTATTGAACATAATTGAAGGTAAGGTCACTAGTTTGTGGCACGCCATCCAGCCTGCCAACACAGCATACAGACGTCAGTCTTTGTGTCTTTTCAGTGGAGGTAACATCTTGCTTGAGACTCTCTTCAACTAAAAGCTTTTTTTCTGTTTACAAGCAAATTATTGGTCATTTTGAAATTTATTTTACATATTGGCAATATATAATGCAGTGCAGTGTTGATTTAAAAATAATAATCTTGAATTACACCAAGAGAACTAAAATTTTATGGGTGAAATGGCACCATGGGGTGACTTCTCTTCCACCCCAATGCCTTCTCTTCTCCCTTCTCCTCCACCCCCATTCTAATTCCCATCATCATCATCATTATCATCCAGGAACCTTCTACATACACACCTCAAAGTTTGTGTACTTTTCTACCTTTTTTGTTGAATTTAGGCAATTTTCGGTGAGCTGGAACCAATTACCCAAAACCCATTGAAACAATGGTTTCGGTTAACGAGCAACCTTCTAGAACGGATTGTGCTCGTTAACCAAGGGACCACTGTATCTATGTTGTTCTTGTATACAGTATAATAAATAGTAAGGGTCCAAGTACTGAGCCTTGGGGTACTCCACTAGTGACGTTACCCCAATCGGATTTAGTGCCATTAATGCTGACTCTCTGTTTCCTGCCTTTTAATCACCCCCAAATCCAGTTTAGAACATCTCCAATTCCATGAGTCTCCACTTTACATATTAGTCTTTTGTGGGGAACCCTGTCAAGGGCTTTGCTAAAATCGAGGTAAGCCACATCATAATCGTGTCTGTCATCCACTGATTCGAAAACAGTTGAAAAGAATGATAATAGATTTGTCAGACAGGAATGCCTACTTGTGAAGCCATGTTGGGAATCATTGATCAATTTGCATTCTTGATGTGTTTTTGAATTGAGTTTGAAATTTTTGCTTCCAGCAATTTTCTTACAATTGATGTTAAATGGTAGTTTGATAACGATTTATTTCCCTTCTTGAAAATTGGTATAACACTCCCTATCTTCGGGGATTCTGGTATTATACCAATTTTTAATGATATGTTAAACAAGTTTGCGAATGGCATAGTGTACTAAGTTCTGCCTTACATTCCTCTAATACCCCTGCCCTGATGTGGGTCATTGGCCCATGCCCAGTTGGGCTAATTCCTGTAAAAAAAAAAAAAAATCTTGTCTGGACCTGACAACTTACTAGGTTATAGTTTGTCTATTTGTTTACTAACATTGCTTCTAGTCATTACTATCTTGCTTAATCTATTTTCTTCACTATATCTGTAGATAGTTAGTGCCTTGGTTATCATGTTTAAATTTACAGTTGTGAAAACTGTATCTTACTATATTAGTCCAAACTTGTCTCGTGCTTTAGTTTGGAAGAATCCCTTAGTGGTTGACTCTGCCTCCCTTGCTACCTTCAATTCATTATTTCTCTTTGCTTTTCTTATCTCTATCTTAACCCTATGGCAGAGTTGTAACATGTACTGGACTTTGTTACTTAAGTAAAAGTATTGTTACAATGGTAAAATGTTACTCAAATAGAAGTATAAAAGTATCTCATTCTTAAAATACTTAAGTACTGAAAGAAAAAGTAACAACAAAATTATTAATTGTGTCAATTATTAAAATAAATCCACAGTATATTTAAAAAAAAGACATATGTTTATGTGCAAATCTTTCTATTGAGATTAATCAATAGCTGTTTCTCAAAATTATGGCTGTCCAAATCAGGATCTTTTGTGCCTAAATATAAGCCCAGCTCGACCTACCAAAAGAAAATACATTCAGCCGCTCTGCTCCTTACAATCCATCACAAGGATGGTGAATTTACTGAAAATATATCCATCCAACACTATGATCCCTTTCTTCCTTATCCACACAAGTATTGTCAACGTGGACCTATTGTCCGGAGACATAATGTTGTCTCTGCTCACATTAGGTTTGGATACAGACCTATCTGGCAAGTATCTGAGGTGGGGGATGGTCTGCACTTCTCTTCCTGTAAACTCTGCAACTGTCCCTACACTAAAACCCTTCAACACTATTGCCTTGACTGTCCCACTGTCAGGGACCTCCTACCACAGGATGAGTCACTAACCACTATATGTTACCACCTACTTATTTGTAATAATTTAGATTTAATTCTTCTACGCTACCCATGCTTTTGTAGGTACTAACTCCCTTTGTCCTTAAATTATATCGATATTGTCTCCATATCACAAGCCATAGCGTGTCCTGTGAGACACAAATACCTATGTATTAGTGTCTGATTGCATGGTCTTGTGACTAGGCTTGTCGCCCCCTAGGGTGTAATAAATTAATTAAATAATAAAAATAAGCCCAACATGACTAAACAGACACTCACAAGCAACATATGCAGTTACAGGTTGTACCTCTCTAGTCCGGCAACCTCGGGACCTGACCGGTGCCGGACCATGGAAATTGCCTGACCATGGAAATTCACCCTTTTCCTGGATAGATAGTGACTTGTGCTTATGCTTGGAAGCACTTGCACCACTTTCTCTGCATCATGGTCTCTTTGAAGACATATTGAAGGGTTAAGTGTCGTATAGTAGCTTCTCAAATTTTGCGAGTTTTTAATTCAACGTATTTTATTGGAACACACAAAAAAATAAATACAAATTTTGACGGCGGAAACTTGAATTTCGGCGGGTTTGAACGGCCCGCCAACATGCAGACGACGTGCATAATTGTGTAAACAGCGTCATTTCTCTTATGTCTTTTTTATAGAATTAATGTTTATGTGTGCAAAATGAGCAATACAATTCATTAATAATACGTAGAATATTAAAACACACGAGGAAATGACACAACGTTGTTTTCGTTGATTACAAAACCAGTGACTGACTGGTTCTACATATAAAACTGAAGAAAATAAGACTTTGGTTGTAGCTGTAGTAAAATTAATATGGTTGCTTTAAGTAATGTTATTTAATGTTAATAAATGGAACAATAGAAGTAGCTAACGATAACGGTAAAGAAAAAAGAGAGATCGCGTATGTAAGTGCGCACACGTGAAAACATATCGTCATTACTTTACATAAGAATATGAAAGCAACACTTATTTACTGTTCATATGTATTTTAATTTATGTTTCTGAATTTGTTTTTATTGAATTAATGTTTGTGTGTGCAAAATTAGCAATACAATTTATTAATAATACGTGGAATATTAAAACACACGAGAAGACGAGACGGCTGCCGGCATTGTTTATGTTAAAGCTTACAAAACCAGTGACTTATTGGTTCTACATA